GCAGGACACTAAGCGAATGGTGTAGATGTTACAATGTTTTTTTTTATTTTTGAAAAAAAAAAAAAAACAGTGTACAGAAGAACTTTTATGCTGGGGAAAATGACTCCAGGCATATGGAAAATAAGGACAACGGAAAATTGTGAACAAAGGTGTCATACAATTTATTTTAAAGATGCCCAGTGTGTATGTGTGGAGAGGTCATGGGAAAAATAATCTTATGATGTTAAGTATGGTTCACAGTGATATATCAATGGTGACTCGTTTGTAGATGGGGGTATGCACATATATTCATTTCGTCATCCCGAATATAACACCTCGTACCCATATTCATTATTTGTATACGATCAGCTTTATGGCAAAGTGGGGTATACATACATGATTTGATACTGGCAAAATGTTTCTAATCGATATAACGATTGGAGCTTCCCCCAAAAAAAGTTGTTACGATCCACCTACTACGGCACTACGGTGGGGTTCCAACTCCGCTCAGTCGGAGCAAATTTATTTTGGAGTGTTCCACCTTTCCATCATGAATCCAAGGGGATGAACAATCAAAACAGAAACCAACAAGGAAAGGTAAAAAACCGACTGACTATATGATACCCCACACCACTATGCGTATTTAGTAGAGCTACCGTAACAAAAAATTTATATTGGCCATTTATGTAAAGTAGATAAGGAATATATTAAACCAGTGAAGAAAGTCTTAAAGTCGGGTGGGGCCGACTTTATGATACCCTACACCACTTTGCTAATTTAGTAGAGCTCCACATAACAATTGAAAGTTTTTATGGGAGAATTCATTCAAATCATACACGCTATGATTATAATTATAATTTAAAGTTCAAAAATATGCCGAAACATTTGTATCTTTCAAATTCGAACTTGTATTGCCCATTTGGCGCACAATTAATTTGAAATCGGATAAAAATATATATGTGAGCTATATCCAAACCTGAACCGATCTTGATAAAATTTGGCAAAGATATTTCTGAGCTGTATTTCATATATTTCCCTGAATATAGTTGTTACGGAGTTCATATTATGGCTGTGGGTAACAAATATGGCATATCGGATGAACAATATATATGGGAGCTACAGCTATATCTGAACCGATCTTCACCAAATTTGACTTTCTAGCTTCTATACTCAATTCGGTCGTAAGTGGCAAATTCCATCCCATTTGGGCAAATATTGGACGTTTGGTGCACAATAAAAGGTAAATCGGAAGAAGTTATATATATGGGAGATATATCCAAATCCGAACCGATTTCGATAAAATTTAACAAAGTCATTTCTGAGCTGTATTTGATATATTTCCCCAAATATTGTTGTTACAGAGTGCATATTACGGCTGCGGAGAACTAAAATAACAAATCTGATGAACAATATATATTGGAGCTATAGCTATATCTGAATCGATTTCGATCAAATTTGGCCTACTTATTTTCAGGCCTAATTTGGTCGTATGTGAAAAATTCCATACTATTCGGGCTGATATTACACGTTTGGTGCACCGAAAAATATTCAAAATCTATAATTTTTAAGGCTTATCATAGAGCATATTGGATAAACCCTTGCAAAATGGTTCCACAACCAATATTTCTGGCCAAAACTATGTCGCAAAAATCAACACGATCGAACGGACATGCATAAATCGACTCAGAATGTGATTCTATGCAGATCATCAAAAGGAACTATGAGTCTATCTCAATTCCTTTTTTCCAGTTACAAACAAATGCACAAAGACATAATACCCTGACCACCTTGTGGTGTAGTGTATAACAATATTTATTGCAGCCCCAGATATTCCGAAACGAGTTTCACCAAATGGTAAAATTCGGTTGAATATGAAAAAATCTTTTCCAGTTGGGCTGATAATAATATGCGGTGAGCAATAAACGTAAAATCGGATGAAAATATATATCGAAGCTATATAAAATCTGAACCGTTCTCGATAAAATTTGGCAGAGGTATTTTCGAGCAGTATCTGAGGCCCGGTATCACATATCATTGTTGTGGGGTTCGTATTACGCATGTGAGGGACTAACACCAAATCCGATGAAATATATATGATATATGAGATTTACACCAAAATTTGAAGCACTTGCTTTTTGGCTGAATTCCGTTGGAAGTGCCTAAATTCAGTCCATTTGGGCTGATATTAGCCATTTGGTGAACAAAAAATCGGACAAAGATTATTGTTGTGGATTGGGACTTTAACACCAAATCGGATGAAACATATATATGGGAGCTATAACGATATCTGAACCGATTTTCTCAAATTTGATATATTTGTTTCTAACGTGAATTCGGTCAGATGTGCCACAATTCACTCCATTTGGGCTAATATTAACCATTTGGTGCACAATAAGCCTAAATATATATATGGGCGCTACATCCTAATCTGAACCGATCTCGACAAAATTTGAAGCACTTATTTTTGAACTGTATCTGATATCTGGTACTAAAGATTATTATTGTGAAGTGCATATTACGCATGTGAGGGACTTTAGACCCTAAATCGGATGAAACATATCTATGGGAACTAAAGCTATATCTGAACCGATTTTCTGTTTCTGGTTTCTAGTATGAAATCAATCAGAATTGCCAAAAATACAGTCCATTTGGGATGATATTATTGTTGGTGCACAATAAACCTTATATCGGATAAAGATATGTATTAGAGAAATATCCTAATTTGATCCGATCTCGATAAAACTTGACAGAGGTATTTTCGAGATCCATACGTTATCTAGCACCAAATATCATTCTTGTGGAGTGCATATTACACCTGTGAGGGACTTTAAACACCAAATCGGATGAGACATATATCGGAACCAATTTTCTCCAAAATTTTTGTACTTCTAGACTGAATTCGGTCGGATGTGCCAAAATTCAGGTCATTTGCACTGATATTGGTAAATTGGTGATACTGGCCGAAGAAGGTAGAAGATATACAGGGTGAGATGAAAAAACTGCAACCAACATCAGACTGCTTTCATTTCTAAGCCACTCGTCCGACAGCTGTTGAAATTATTCCAGTTACAGCTCATTATATTGTTTACAAGCGTACAAAAGCATTTTGGTGAGAATTTTCCAGAAGAAAAGAATTCAAGGGTGATAGTGTGATTTCTTTATATTTGCCTGGGAAACAACAAGTGGCTATCTAGCATTTAAATGTGAAAAAATCTTTTGAGTCTCGTACCAACGCTCGTTACCGTTATACTGGTAGCGTAGCCCGACGTAAAGAAAATTAATGTAAGAAAACATCAACATCAGCGCAAATGGTTTGAAAAGTAAAGAAGCGACTTGATCGAAACCCGCGTCGTAGTGGCCGAAAAATGGCTCGTGAGCTGAACATATCGCAATATTCCATTCGGCAAATATTGAAAAATAAGCTCTGCGTAAAGCCATTGAAATTCCAAAACGTGCAAGAACTTACACCGCAAATACACTCAAAGACTCAAAGGAGCTAAAGAGTTGTTTCGCTTGGTCGAAAGTAGTGAACTTCCGAATTTGGTTTTCTCCAATGAGAAAACATTCGTTTTCCAGCAGTTGTAAACAAAGTGATCGTGTTTACTTGCCAAAGAGGTCAGCTGAAAATGTGCACCTTCGGTTGGCCACCCGAACTCAAGCGCCGGTCATGGTGATGGTGCGAGCTGCCATAACAGCCGATGGTCGCTCTCCGCTCGTATTAATTGAATCAGAATATATGCCGAATATTATCACGAAAATATTCTGGAGGGTGTATTAAAGCCTTGGGCGCGCAAACAGTTCTGCCGCAGACATTGGACATTCCAACAGGATTCAGCACCATCGCACTCAGCACGCGCCACCCATGAATGGTTACAAAATGAGGTTCCTTGCTTCTTTTCCAGCGCACAATGACCATCAAAATTTCCGGATACCAATCCGTTGGACTATTGTATCTGAAGTGTTTTGGAAAGCAAGGTTGGCACTAAAAAGTACCAAAGTTTCGATCACCTCAAGCAAGCGCTTCGCCGGGAATGGGCCAAAATACCGCAGAGCAACATTCGGGCAGAGTGTGACGGTTTCAATGGCCTTTTGAAGGCCATAATTCGTGCCAATGGTGACCAATTCGAACAAATCTAAACTTATTCTGAAATGTGATGCTATTTCCGACATTTTTAGATGTCATTCAATAAAATTTAAAAAAAATGTAAAAATTATGTCGTTTCACTTTGTTCGAATTTTTTATCTCACCCTGTATATGGGAGCTATATCTACATTTCAATAGGCACATAAATGCGGGGACAGACGGACCTCCGTCTAAATCGACTCAATAAATGATTCTATTATGATCCTCAACAGTAACTATGGGTCTATTTCGCTTCCTTCTCCATGATACAAACAAATGCACATGGACATAATACCTTTACCACTATGTGGTACCTAATATTCACTCCATACTGTGTATGGAGAATAAGTACAGTCTAATTTTGTTATTACAGCATCAATATTTAACAATGTGTTATTTAACACATACTAGTGTCGAGCCTTCCTCCGGCTCGAATTTCTTATGCCTGTCGCTTTTTGTCCAAAATAGAAATTCCGCACACCTAATTTCCAATTGCCTGAAAAGACAGGTATATTTTCCAATTGAATTTTATCATAAGTGCATTTGAGCCACTGTAAATGACTTAGATCTTTACTTGTTTATCGCGTTCTCTTTGAACTTATCAGTAAATTTACCTCTGTTTCCCATCAACTGCTCTATGCAAATACCTAAATTCATTACTCAAACTCTCCGAAACCAACACAAGCACACACATATAGAAAAAGAGGGCACGCGTACACATTTACATTTATCATCGAGTTTTTAGAATTTCCCAAGTAGAAAAAAAAATGAAAGACAAAGGGAGAGTACTGCAAATACTCCGACGAAAGCAAAACACTTGATTCGTACAAAAACCAAACTCTGTACCTGATTTGATGTCACTGCCTGTCTGTCATTTGACTACAGCTATAAATTCGATAAATCGAACGAAGACCAGCGGCAGTTTACTATTGCAATCGTTGCGGAGCGTATGCAAACGGTAGTCAGCCAGCTAGTCAGCCGGACAAGCCAAAACTCACAACTCTTGTGCTTGACGTCCATCTTGTTGTCCATCCAAAAACAGCCTCAACTCCACTGGTAAAAACAGCAGTATTCTGAAACAGAACAATGTCATCTATGCCAGTATCGAGTTATACGTTTGTCACCTCTGGTGGACAGAGGCGATTTGTTCATCGTTGGCAGTATGAAAATAACGAAGTTATTGAATGTAATAAATGCGGCAGTTCATGCAAGGAAACCGATGCCTATGGCAAACACTGGTCCCAGCCAAAGACATTGGATGACAACGACAGCAACAACAACAACAAGGATGGCAGCATCGACATATCAAGGACAGCTAAAACGCCAATAGCACTTTCTACATCTACATCGTCATCAACATCATCATCATCATCGTTGACATCGTCGGATAAGAGCTTTGGCCGGATAACAACCTTAATGGATAGCAAGGAAATTATTGTCAGCAAAAACGTTGAATCCTTTATGCTGTGCGCCTCAAAGGCCGTAAGTGATAGCCAGCAATTTTTATTGGATGCTGGCATAAAAGCTGTGCCCGATTTACTGGCTTCCCTCTATGCCATGTATGGTGGTGGTCACAGTCATCGCTTGCTGCTGGTGGCGGTGGGCTTCTATGTGACCATTGGAGGTGAGACGTTTATGCTACAAACAACCGAATTGACAATAAAACATCACTACGACATCCGAGAAAGTGTGGATATGATTTTTGCCATGCTCTTGGAGAAGCTGAGAAACTTTTTGGCATGTCGCAGTGAGTCCAATGGCTTTGGAAAACAAGAGGCATACAGCATTAAAAGAATCCGCATAAAAGTGCGAAAACAACAGCTGCAACAGGAGAGTATGCCATTGCCCTTGCATTATGCCCGCAAGCAGACGAACATGGAAATGAGTGGCACCACAGCCAATCGCAATGAATTAGCATCGCTGACAGCATGGTTTCGTCAACATTTGCTAACCTCCGAGCCATTGGATAGCCAAATGTCGCCTTTTCCCTGTAATCTCTATTGTTTTCAGGAATGTCCAAATTCATTGGAACTCTATGTGGTGCCATATCATTTGGGCAGTTCCTCCAATGATCTCTACAAAAGTCGCAGCTTTATTATCCTATGTGATATCAAGGGGCGCTTTATGGAACTACAGGAAATCACCAATATACGACGTTTTCTCCATCACGCCACGGAAGATCGTGTGCTTTGGTGTCCACGTTGCCAGCAATGTTTTGTGGAACACTCCAAATTGGCTTTACATAAAATGCTCCAATGTGGCCGAGGGTTTGAAATATTGCAATTGGATTCAGATTTCATTGAAATCTATGAAAATTGTTTGTTATTGGAAAAATGTGATAATTGGTCATTGTTTGGTATTATTGAATAAATTCGATTTTTCGGACATTCATTCAAAATGATACGGAAATTGTTGTGTTTTTTTATAGCCTTTACAATATTATCCTTACTATCTTAACGTTGCCATTCAGTTGCCAATAGCAACGAGAATATATAGTTCTCAGCAAAAAATCTAAATACCAAGTAATGGGAACATCACGTACATTTTGACGCCAGTGACTATTTATAAACCCCATATTTTAACAGGGATACATCAAAGAAAATAAATGCTTATCAAGCTACTCCAAATAGTAGTTAGTCAGTCCACCTGTCCATGTAGTTTTGTGAACAAAACGATTGAGATGAAATTTTGCAAACAATATTTGTTTGGCCTAAGGACAAACCCTATTGAAATTGGTGAGAATCGGTTCAAATTTAGACACAGCTGCCATATATATCTTCAATCGATTTCGGATTAATTGTGCACCAAGTGGCCAATATCAGTCCAAATGGCATATCTGAAGCAATTCAGCGTAGAAATAAGTATTTCAAATTTGGTGAAAATCGGTTTGGATATGGCTATAACTCCAATACACATGCTTTATCCGATTTGGTGTTAAAGTCCCTCACATGCGAAATATGCACTCCACAACAAAGATATTTGATACCGGGCATCAGATATTGCTCGAATATTTCCCTGCCAAACTTTAACGAGATCGGTTTAGGTTTTTATATAACTTCGATATATATGTTCATCCGATTTTACGGTTATTGTTCACCATATACAGGGTGAGATGAAAAAACTGCAACCAATTTCAGAATGCTGTCATTTCTAAGCCACTCGTCCGACAGCTATTCCAGTGACAGCTCATTATATTACTTATAAGCGTAAAAGAGCATTTTGGTGATAATTTAAAAAAAAAAGTTATTCGTGATGGAATTCAAGCGTGATAGTGCGATTTCTTTATATTAATCTGGAAAACCACAGGTGGCTATCGTAAGACCACTCCAGCACTTAAATGTGAATAAATGTTCTGTGTCTCGTACCATCGCTCGTTACCGTGATACTGGTAGTGTAGCCCGACCTCAAGGAAATTGACGGAAGAAAACAGCAACATCAGCAGAAATGTAAAGAAGCGACTTGATCGAAAACCTCATCGCAGTGACCAAAGAAGGGCTCGTGAGCTGAACATATCGAAATATTCCATTCGACAAATATTGAATAATGAGCTCGAGGTAAAGCCATTGAAATTCCAAAAATTGCAAGAACTTACACCGCAAACGAAAGAATATAGACTCAAAAGAGCTAGAGAGTTGCTTCGCTTGGCCGAGAACTGCCGAATTTGTTTTTTTTTTCGATGAGAAAACATTTGTTGTCCAGCAGTTTGTAAACAAACAAATGATCGTGTTTACTTGCCAAAGAGGTCAGCTGAAATGTGCACCTTCGGTTGGCCACCATAGCTCAAGCGCGGGCCATGGTTATGGTGTGGGCCGCCATAACAGCCGATAGTCGCTCTCCGCTCGTATTAATCGACCGTGGCATCAGAATAAATGCCGAATTTTATCGCGAAAATATTCTGGAGGGCGTAATAAAGCCTTGGGCATGCAAACATTTTGGCAGCAGCAGGCAGCAAGCGCCACCTAAGAATGATTACAAAATGAGGTTCCTCGCTTCATTTCCAGCCCACAATGGTCACCAAAGTCTCCGGATACCAATCTGTTGGACTATTGTGTCTTGAGTATTTTGGAAAGCATTTTATATGTCCATGCATTTTTATAAACAAAGTACAGTTCGCATTTATTACCCTATCCAAATAAAATTTTGCACAGATCATTTGTTTGGTCCAAAGACGAGCCCTATTGAAATTGGAGATAATCGGTCAAAAGTTTTGATGTATCTCCCATGTATATCTTCGTCCGATTTACTTTTTATTGTGCACCAAACGTCTAATGTTTGTCCAAATAGGATGGAATTTGGCACTTACGACTGAATTGAGTCTGGAAGTTAGTATGTCAAATTTGATGAAGATCGGTTCAGATATAGCTACAGCTCCCATATTTATTGTTAATCCGATTTGTTATGTTTGGTATCCACCCCCGTAATATGCACTCCGTAACAACGATATTCAGGCAAATATATTAAATACAGCTTAGAAATATATTTGCCAAATTTTATCGAGATCGGTTAAGATTTGGATATAGCTCCCATGTATATCTTTATCCGATTTCAAATTAATTGTGCACCAAATGGGCAATACAAGTCCGAATTTAAAAGATACAAATGCTTCGGCATGTTTTGTCCTTTGAACTTTAAATAATAATTATAATCATAGCGTGTATGATTGAATTCTCCCATAAAAACTTTTAATTGTTATGTGGAGCTGTACTAAATTAGCAAAGTGGTGTAGGGTGTCATAAAGTCGGCCCGCCCGACTTTAAGACGTTCTTTACTTTTTTTCATATTTTTCCTCATTTTTTTTTAAAATGAATGAAATTCTTGGATTTTTCTCTCAAAAATATGATCCAAACTGTTCAATCTTTCAATTTCATCGCCAAACTGGTTAATAGCTTTGATGCGCAAGCCACAATGTACGTGCTTGCTTTTGTTTTGAAAATATTTTTTTTTTTAATTTTTCAAAACAATAAATACATAAACAAAACTGGCAGAAGTCGGGCACACTTAGAAAAAAATATTAATCATCTGGTAGCTCTACCTTATCTTTTCATTGTACCATGAGAAAAATGTGAAATATCAGGAACTCGATATTTCGACCTCAAGGCGAAGTTCTATTCATTTTGGCGATTTTCGCTTTAATTATATAATATTGTGAATAAAGTTTCATATAATCAAAACAACTGATTGCATTCGTATAGTATATTTTCGGTTACAAGCCTCTTACTTTTGCTTTGTGTTTCTCAAATTTAATAAACCTTGTCTACCTTGCAAGAAGTGGATCATGGCTGCTAGTATTTTCTTTATGATAACCAATTTGTATTAAAGAACCATTCTCCGCGTATCTACTTACAATTTTCTATTAATCCCCCCAAAAAGACTCCTCAAAGAGAGTATCAATACTTGCGGGACAAATTTGAAACATTTAATTTTCTTACATAAAAATCAAATTTCTTAACAAGAAATTGTAATGAAAAAAGAAAGGAAAGACTCACACACAAACATTCAAAACCATTTGACATCAAAAGAAAAACATTTACAATGACGGATAAAAGATATTAAAAAAGCGAAATGCCAAATGAAGGTAAGAGGATGGATGGCTGGCTGTATAGATGGTTACACTAACACGCCTTTATCATTTCGTGAACATTTTAGTTCAGTGGTTTTTTGTCGCTCCCTTTTTTTTGGTGGCAACCAATGGAAGAATGTGACAAAATCCCCCGAATATAAAAGCTTTGTATCTCCATAAAATCAGCATTTCTAGATTATTATCATCAGTAAAAGGCGAAGAAGAAGAACAAGCACCAGACATTGTTGAGGTTATCGCTGCTTTTCATCGTCAAGAGGATACAAATTCATAACGCTAAACTTTATTTTGACACCCATTTAGGGCAAAGGCAAATTTGTTAGGGACGTTTCGTTTTTTTTGTGTGAAATATTCAACAATTCATTGGAAAAGAAAGAAATCAATCAGTAAAACAGAATGAGGCAATAAAGGAATTTGGATTTTTGTTTTCTTTTTACGAAATACCCAAGGAATATTAAAGGGAATTCTTGAATATAATAAGGAAAGGACAGGGCAGTTACAGTGAGTTTAATTCGGTATGAATTAAATGAATGTAAGCTAAATGAATTAGGAAAGAGAAACGATTTGTATTACTCTGGGAAGTTACTGGTAAGTTATTTATGAGTACCTGCTTTAGTATACCAAGTAAATTAGGAAATATAATAAACAAGTAAAAAATTATGTTTGGACAGGTTGATTCTTTAAGACCATTCAAAATGAGGAGTCAAATAAAAGCGTCGAAAGAGTCCCATTCAAAACTCCAATTGCTAATGAATTTTGAAGGAAAATGGATAAAGCCTGAAAAATATCAAAAATCGGTATAAATATATGGAGACAGCGGGTCCATGCTTCACATTAGAACAGCGGGTTTAACTATTCAAATATATACCAATAAGTTGGGCTGCTCTAATGGATGTTTGCAAAAAAAGATTTCCCTCTGAGAATTCGAAATTCCAAAGAACAAGCATTTTGACAGTAATATTCTGTTTTAATCTTCCTTTTCTTTCAAAAATTTGGCGAAACGTTCTATGGGGGCTATATCGAAAACAGGGATTTTTATCACGATGGATTCCTGCAAGGTAGCAATGCCGCCGAAGAGTGCGTTAAAGTTTATAAAACGAAAACTTGAGCAGGAATCAGTGCATTGCAACTTTTGGGGAACTTAGGTGCAAGGTAAGTTAACTCTTCGAACATTTGGTGTTGTCGAACTTTTTGCCGGTATTCACAATCGTTGTATCGGCATCAACCATCACAATTGATCCAAAAAGGTTAAACTCATCTAACATCGTTCAATTTGTTGAGGTTGATAAGATTTTATTTTTGATACTGGAAATCCCCCGGTGTTTTAATGTTTTGTGTAACATTTGCCAACGGAATCGTTTCAAAGTCTATTGTTTTTGTAGTTCGCCAAAAAAAAAATAGATCTTATATATAGAGATGAATTGAAAAAACTACAACCAACTTCAGACTGCTGTCATTTCTTAGCCATTATCCGACAGCTGTTAAAATTATTCCAGTTACAGCTCATTACATTGTCTACAAGCTTTTATTATTCGTGACGGAATTCAAGCGTGATAGTGTGATTTCTTTATATTTGGCTGGAGAACCACGAGTGACTATCGTTAGATCACTCCAGTATTTAAATGTGAATAAATCTTTTGTGTCTCGTACCATTGCTCGTTATCATGATACAGGGTGAGATGAAAAAACTGCAACCAATTTCAGACTGATGTCATTTCTAAGCCACTTGTCCTACAGCTATTAAAATTACTCCAGTTACAGCTCATTATATTGTCTACAAGCTTTTATTATTCGTGACGGAATTCAAGTGTGATAGTGTGACTTCTTTATA